ATAAAACATTCGCTTTATGTCAAAGTTTAAACGCCGCCCGTATCCGACTCATTACGTTACGCCGATCATTTTGTCGACGATTCTGGCGATAATGCATGATAAAATTGTATTTTAATGCTTATCCCATAGGTATCGTCTATCATTTAACACAGTTGATGATTGTCTGCACTGATCTATATCATGGTCGAAGAAATCATAATTTACGCGAATATTAAATTCTTTTTCCATGCGCTCAAGGAACGCTATGAAGATAATTAGTGTACGGCGGCAGATGTTACAAGAACAAAAGATGGTTTTCCAAACCGTTTCGTCGTTTGCTTTATGAAATTCTGTACGTCGTTACTTCGCTTCTTGCAGAAGATTTTTTCTTCCTCCTATCTTCTATGGAAATCATTACTGAAATTATAGATCTGGAAAGCTTTATATGTCAATTTTCTAGACAAACTCGATTATAGATATGTACTCTCACGTAAGTGTACATATAAGTTATACACTTTTGTATTGCTTATATGAACACAGATTTCGGCAAAAATGATGAGGAGAAAGCATCTTTGCATATTTTTAAGTGTCTCTATAATTGCACACACACACACACACACACACACACACACACACACACACACACACACACACACACACACACACACATTCATATGTGCGTGCACGTGATGCATCTTGACACACATATGGATTTGCGAAACGAAAGGAAGATGCTAGATAATTAGAACGCTGCGGGAATGCTGTATCGTTCCTTTATTTCGTTACCTTCCATTGTCAGTTTCCTTGTAATTAAATCATTCGTATTCATTAAATCAATTACTCTATTGCGATAAATATCAGAACTTAATAGCATATTTCCGTTATTTTTTAAGGTGTGTAAATTCAGCTTTGATGTTTTCAGAAATAAGGATTAACTTCACGTATCGGCGCGTAATAAAGAGAACGCATTCGAACAAAAGGAACTTAGTTTGCATTACTTTACTGAGGAATTACGCAAGCGTGTAAAGAGACTCGTGTGTGAAATCAGCACTGCACGTAGGAAGACTTAGCACGACGGTTATGCAATTAAATTGTCGACAGTGGGTGCTAAACATGCAAATTCGTTCGCTGGTGACATTACGAAGCTGTAAATGTCTGTCGTTAAATTGGCATCGCGATTATTTTTCGAGGCATCATGCAAACTAGTCTAATCTATGAAACGGTAATAAAAATGAAACAGTGTCTCTACAACTTGTTATTATGATATGAAAAGATCAATTTCTATAAAATATAATATTTCTATAAAATATTTTTCAATATTTTTTCAATGATTTTTAAAATAGGCAATATATCTATATATATAATAAGATATATTGTATACTTATTTGTCTTATATTGAGTCAATATTTCTCAATCTCTATAATGTATATGTTCGCCGTTTATAATATAAAAACTATGAATACTTTATCATGCAAATAAGAGACACTCTTCTCGACCTCTTAATTTGATTTTGTCATTTGGGGCCCACAGTCAAGAGAAAGTGCATGAATTTTGATGCCATCTGTATATATTGGGTTAATAATTTTTGTGAGCAGCGAATAACGCCGAATAATTTTTAAGCAATATTACAAGCATGTGCTAAACAGTTATTATGAATAATTTTACTATTTCTATGAACGTTTGAACACATTGGGATATTTTAAATGTGTCAGCTATAATTTTGAAATCTCTTTCCTTTTTGCGTAAGATATACCTCTGGCCCCGAGCACACGCAAAAGAATAATCTTTACAGGTCCAAGATGTTCTCTAGTCACATATAGACACTTTCACAGCGCCAATAAACATGCTGTACCTGACCTGCAAGCTTCCATAAACTGAGAATCTCGTGGGCGAGATTCGTGTAGTATAATAAAGAAGAAATCCATGAAGTTGATGACTCGCGAACCGGAATCGTTATTGACCTGAAATATCTATTTGGGTGGAGCTGATAATTAAGTCGATTCGTGATTATTTAATGCAGCGAATGATGTCATCGAAATAAAACTTTCATGTAGGATATACATATGTAATTACAGTTTGCCTATTTAGAAGCCCGTCGCTGTTTGACATTTAAATGTATTATTTAACAAACAAAGATATACTATTAATTAAAAATACAAATACAAATGAAATAAAATTGTTATGGAAAATTAAAATTACGCCGTTTAATTATTTTATAAATAAAGGAAAAATGATAATTGATTACATTTGAAAAATTAATGTATTTTGACATCAGAAAATAGTTTCTTAAACTAGTTGAGTGTGTTAATTTATCTTGTTTTAACCGATGACACAGTCGCTACTGCCAACATTTGTATCATAATATCGCGCGTTTCACATAAACATACATTGTAATTTATATTACTCATGTAGATATACAGTGATGCAAAATTGAAGTATACAATCGCGTGGCTGAATTATGACCGAGAGCTACTGACTAGTTTGCAAGATTGCGACATGTAAATATGCTAAAGAGGCACCGACAAAAACTGATGTAACTATGTCAATCGCTCGCGGCTGAAAAATCGATGTCAGAGCCCAAGAACGATCGGGATGCAGCTTCGCGTTTCTATCAGACTTCATCTATGCTTTAAATTACAAACAAAATAAATTTATTAAAATAACGAGACGTTCATTTTTACCTATAATAATCTAACTACCTTTTGATAAAGAAGTAATTTCATTATTGAGTCATTATGCACGAAAATATTTTTAAATGTTATTAACGCTTGTTTGTTTTGGTTTATATTATACACAAGGATATATTAACTAATTAAATTATCAATTAATTTTATAAAATAAATAAATGTTAATCATAGTAAATAATTAACTTGTTAGAGATTGATCACAAATAAATACTTTTTTTGATGCTCGTATGCCTGAGCTGTGAACCATTATATAATCACCTTGCTTTCATAACATCCTCTCGGAATACTATTGAAGTTACAAAACCTACGTAAAAATTGAAACACTACAATCAGACACTACATTACATTAAATAATACATTGTTTATTATAGAAATTTTTTATAAAATTAAAAAAAAAAGATAAACACGATTTGTTTTACGTATAAATGATTATTACATTTTAATGAGAGAGTTGACGTCTAATTATTATATCAATTTCTTTTAAGTTTCTGCGAATTTTATTTTTCGTTAACATATACATCCAAGTCCTAGATTTGTGAGACCTTGACCATGGTACTACGGAAGTAAAACCGGATTTAAAAATATGCCTGCGCGATGGGGTGGCCGGCTTCCGTGACAAAATTAAAATAAGGGAACTCTCGTGGGCTGGTCGGGCCGCAACCCGCGCGCAGCTGCGAGTTTATATACATATTTCGAGTTCGGGGTACGACCGAAGGCGGTAGCGCGGAGGGGCAACTTGGAGACGATGCGATGCAAGATGGTTGGGAGGAAAGGAGGGCTACAGGTGCATCGCACTCGCACGCCCTCCTTTATTACGCGTTCCTTCGCTTCTTCTCTCCTCTCCTATCCTCCCTAGTCGTTCCCCTTCGCACTTTCCGCTTCTCTTCTTCCTCTTCATCCGTCTTCGCGAACGCACGTCCTTCCTTCCCTTCTCCCTTTCATCCTCCGGTCCTCCTTATGAGCTTGGCCGCGTGTGCAGTCGTTAACATTTCACCGCGCCAGGTTGATCGCCGCAGCTCTAACTTATTGTGCGATTCGCTGCACACGCGCGCACCTAGTGCGTTCGCTGCGTCTCGAGTCTCGAGTCTCGAGTCTCGACGAGAAAGAACAAGAAAGAAGCCTGCGGGCCCAGAACGAAGAACGCTTTTGCGTACGGGAATGCTATCTCGCGAAAATTGCAATTTACAGTTGGACGTCTGCCGGCAGAATTGCGAGGGAGAAGGGCGATAAACAGGAAATTGTACCGCGGCTTCATCGCGAGCAACTCAACGATTTAGATTTCCATGTCTTTAAAACGAAACTTTTCGTTGGAAAAGTCTAATCGCTATCAAGCACATATTTTCTCGCTATGTCGAGTCGAACGCCTCACGAATTCTGTGGATCGACGAAACGCACTTGAGGCTTGATGGCCGATGTAAGCTTCGTTATAACAGAGACCTGATCTCAGATTTAACGATACATAATTGAAAAAATAATCACAAATAATGACTTGTATAATGACTTGTAAAACATTAATAGCTATCATTAATGAAGAAATTTATTTTACATTTATCATCGATAACTTTATTGATGTCATTACAGTTATTCTACAATGATTTGCGTTTTATTTATGTCTGTCGTGTCGAACCGTCTCCTACTTAAGATATCTAGTACGTTGAAGAACAAAGTCAATGCTTCTATGCATTACGTGGCCTACATGTTGGGGTTGATAGATCAACCAACTTCCCTGGGTCGCACATTCGTGAATTAACCACACATTGGAACGGCTGGCGCGACGGAGCGGAGGTTCGTTCGTCGAACAGGTGTTCGACCGGTGTAGGTTTATCCGTTGTGACTGAAAAATAGTCGATGGTTTCTTGTGATTTTATATTCACGCTTGATTTTCCGACGATTTCCTGCAACCATGGTGCTTTCCATGTGATTTATATGCCGTGAACATCGTGGAACATTCGAGTGCCCCTCTCTCTCTCTCTCTCTCTCTCTCTCTCTCTCTCTCTCTCTCTCTTTCTCACTCTCTTCTTCTCTTGTCTCCGGTTGTGGCGCGATCATGAAAAATCGTTCCCAGGGTGCTGCAAAGTGGTAGCCGTTTTTGCGAAACCACTTGTGAATTTGCGATGATGCAATTACCACTGGTGATTCCCGTATGAAGTCATCGTCGTTGTGTTACGCGCATGTTTAGGAATATCTATATTTAAATTTCTTCCGCAACACGTTCTCCGCGGAAGAGTGATAAACATTGTTATGCGCATTCAGTCATCACTAAAAAATCATGCATTAATAATGAACCAAAACTATGCGTTTAACTCTATATTGCGTGAGTAATATCTATAGAATATGACTAACTTTGGTATGATCTTTGGTATTAATCTTTTTACAGCAAAGATGAAACATCTTTGGCCGTTGCTGACATGGATACTTCTATCTTCGTATCCGGTAAGTTCTCAAAAATTTCAATTCTTTTGCGAATAAAGAAAGTAATTAATTTTTGTTTTTTTTTCTTTCTCCCATTCGACTTGCAATTGGAAGATTAATTAAATTAAATTAAATTCAACGTTAATTAAATTCGATACGCGTCTTTTGTCAAAAAAAATTAAACTTAATTTAAATTAGAATGTCAGAAAGCACAAAAATGTAATTGATAAATGATAAAGAAGATTGATAAATAATTGAAATATTTGATAACTAATAAAATCTATCTTGTGATTTTTCAGGCCGAATCTCGTAAAGGACTCGGCCATGGATCGAAGCGAGAAGTATTCTTCCTGAATCTCGAGGACGGCTACTTTGGCTGTCAAGTAAACGAGTCGACGGACGTCCTTCAGTTGCTCGAGCTTTCAAAGCTCTGTGACCATCGCGTCGATTGCTACCAAGGCGTGGACGAGCAGCGCAACAAGTTAAAGTGCACAGGTGAGCTATCTGACAAAAGAAGACATATCCTCTCGAAATAATTCGTCCGGAAATTACCAGAGTAACCCTGCGGTAAAATAATTATGTATCTCACGGTGACAGGAAAGGGTGATGTCGCACGACATTCACAATACACTGTCCTCAACGTTTCCGTTGTTTCTTCACGTCATGCCATCATTCTTGATGTCATTACAGTTCCTAAGTAATTTTCCTTCTCGCATCGTATATATAAACCGCAAGAACGTGTTAAGCATCACGTCTCGCCAAGTCAATTAAGGGGAATCTCTTCTCGCGTCATTATTTCATATTGTACCGAGTCACGCCTACGAGTTGTAATTAGCCGCAGAATTTTATTCTCATTTTCTATGGACGTTATCTTCCCGGTGAGACCATAATTGTCGTTGCTGAGCTGCCAATGAGCCAGTGGATCACGTTACTCGAATCTACCGAACGTATGCCGTAGCTTCACGGCTTGTAAGAAAAACTTCGATGTTCGACCGATGATTAGGTCTGGCGAGAGAAAATTGCGCGATTAGCCGATAGCTATATAGTATAATCGCAATTTATCTACCCCTTTTTCTCGGATAATCTTACTTAATAGCTAACAAAAATGGCTCGTGCCTCTCATACAGGATATTTCTAAATCAGTATATCCTTTAACGCTGTTTCTAACGGATGAAATCATTAATTATTTATATCTATGTAAATAATTTTTTATTTACACATTAAGAAAGATAAAAATGCTTTGTATTTATTAATATTTTAATATGATTGATATTTTAATTTAAAAAAAATATATGTAGATTATTCAAAAATTTATATCAATATTAAATATTAATTAAGAATCGAGCTACGCATATATTTTTTTAGTGAAATATAATATTATTAATTTATTCGAATTTTTGCTAAAAATCTTACAGACGATTGTACAAAAGAAGACGGCACTAAATGTCAAAATGGTGTCTGTCTGGATTCGGTCTGTCACTGTAACGATGGATTCGGAGGATGTAACTGTCAAGTTCCAGGTTTGTGCAACTATTTATGTTATTATATTATTATTTAGTATGAAATTTTCTTATCAAATATTCATTTAATATATATACATGTATTTTCTACTACATGCAAATCATTTGGATTAATTCGATGCAAGTATATTATCTGGCATATATTTTTCTACGCTTTTAAATCTACAATATACGTAAGGAATAATTTATAATAATAAAACTGAATTAAAATTAAAAATTACAGATGAGAACGAGTGTAAATATCGACCCTGTGATATATTTGCCCACTGTACAAATACTCTTGGCAGTTTTCAATGTTCCTGCTTTCCCGGATACCAAGGCGATGGCTTTCATTGCGAGGGTAATTATCCTGTTGTTCGAATGCCCAGCTGTGCATCCGTTTCATTATTAACGATATTACATCTTTAGATATCAACGAATGTGACGATCCAGCGATTGCTAGGCGTTGCGTCGAGAATGCCGAGTGTTGTAATCTACCCTCGAACTTCTTATGTCAGTGCAAATCTGGCTACATCGGCAATGGTGAGGTGCATTGCGAGGATGTGAACGAATGTACGATACCAGGTGCATGTGGCGACAATACTGTGTGCCACAACATACCTGGTAATTACACCTGCACGTGTCAAGACGGATTTACGGGAGACCCGTTCAACAGTGTGAGTACATCGGTGAGATCAAGGATATGCAGTCAAGAAAACGATAAGTTGGAGATTAAAGTGGATAATAACATGCCTGCGAGTCAATTGCCTTATCGCGGCAATTTTTTTTCGAATATTTATATGACGATGAGGATATTAATCTTAATAATTATCGTTTATTTAAAATGATGGGCTTCTGGAGGATGCAAGCCAATCATGATATATATATATATATATTGACAAATTCCGAATTGAAATATATTTATATTATAAATAATTCCGATGAAGTACGACAATTTCAAAATTTAAATATTTATTCTGTCTATAATTTATTTTAAAGCAAGAGCATGTGTATCCTCAGTTAAAATTTTTATAAATTTTATATTTAAAAATACGAATTTTTACTGAATAAAATATAAATGTTTTATAAATATAAAATATATAATATAAAATATAAATTCATACACGTATAATATTAGAAAATGTTATTAAATTTCAATGCATAATTAAGAATATGTGTGCATACCATAAATTTATTTATTAAATTTATGGAATTTAAATTTATCTAGTGTATCGATATTGACGAATGCAAATACGAGGGTGCTTGCGGAAGAGGTGCGCTATGCGTGAATGTACCAGGCGCGCATAAGTGCGAATGTCCCGACGGATACGACGGAAGTCCTGAGGAAGAGTGCAGGGATGTCGATGAATGCTTGAGGAGTCCTTGCGGACGTTCCGCTCTCTGTACGAACGTACATGGTAGCTTCCGATGTTCTTGTCCTGATGGAATGGATGGTGATCCGATGACAGGCTGCCACGGTAAGGCTTAAGAATACGTACAATTAGCTTATTACGTGATAGCTTATTACGAGTGATAAGTAAAACATAGAATGCCTTATAGCGTGGAAAAATTAAAATATGTTAAATGTGATATGTATGTGTGTGTGTGTGTGTGTGTGTGTGTGTGTGTGTGTGTGTGTGTGTGTGTGTGTAATTAATTGTCATGCTTTAGTAACATTGTTCTTAATCATTGATATAACAATTACATCTTAACAAAATGTTGACAAAGAATTTATTTCGATTAAGAAATTCGTGAAAACCAGATCCTAATATTGATTTATGTGTGATGCATGACAACTGATAATTTGACAATTTGGTTGAACTCACAAATATCCACGGTCGTACGTCTAACAATCATGACTACTAACTGACCATCACCGGCAGATGTGAACGAGTGCGAGGAAAGTTCGCCCTGTGGTGCGGAGTCGGAATGTGTAAACACCGAAGGTAGCTACGAATGTAGATGCCATATCGGCTACCGGATGGATTCCGCGCACGGTTGCGTCGACATGAACGAGTGCATCGGTGGAGACGCTTGTGCGGCCAACGCGAGGTGTATCAATGTCCCGGGCTCATACAAATGCATTTGTCCCCCGGGTTTCGTCGGTCAGGGACTAACCCGCTGCGAAAGTCAGTCATAGCTAAACTTTCATATAACATTCTTTGTCATACTGCATGTATAATAATCATCCTATGATTAATAATATTGATTAACAGACGTGAACGAATGCGAGCGCAACCCCTGTGGCGAAAACGCTGAGTGCATCGATACGGTCGGTAGCTTTGCTTGCAGCTGCAAGACGGATTACACCGGCGATCCTTTTAAGGAGTGCAGTGGTTAGCTTATCAATAATTTTCTCTTGCGAATGTTTCCTTTGAATGAATCCCTTAAGCCTGTATATTCTACAATGTACTTTTTGTTTCCTGTTTCTTGCCTTTTGTTATTTTTTACATCTTGTCTTTTTGCTTCTTATCCGTCTTTTTGTTTTATATCGTCCGAGATAAAAATTAATGAACTTCGAAAGAAATACATAGTAAAAAATACAATTGTTGATAAAACAGTTGTAAAGAAGAAAAAAGCAAAAAATAAAAAGCAAGAAATAGGAAACAAAGAGCATATTGTAGAATAGGCTTTAATCATGAATTTCATGATTTTAAGAGTGTTGCCAGGAATTAGAATGCTCCCACTACGATTTTAATATATTCATATTTTCAATAATTTCTTTTTTAAATGCTTATTTAAATAAATTAAAAATTGACTATTTTCGTACAAAAATTTATTCTATATTTTCTTAATACTTAATATCTTTAATTTTTGTGATACTCAAAATGCAGATTTGTTTCTTTAAATCTTTGACTTTGTGGAATTTTTCTGTTATCTTGGCATTCTGCTTTTCTTTTCTAGACATCAACGAATGCACAGCTTTGGAAAATCCTTGTGGGAAAAATGCGATTTGCAAGAACGAGGAGCCTGGTTATAACTGCCTTTGTCCACCAGGATACAGTGCTAGGTCCAGTCCGGCAGTCGCATGCGATCAGGTATAATAATTCAATAACTTGTTGCGTTTCGTCTCGAGTCATCTCATACATATATATGTGGACAAGATCTTCCACGCAAGAGATGTTCCAGGACAAATATTTCAAAAGGTCTGCTCCTTTGACCGGTCCGCGGTTTCTTTCTACGAAGGCGACGGATAAAAGAAAGCAAATGAAACGGAGGTGGCGTCGTGCACACAAAGCAAGATAAACGCGAACCGGTTTTACATTAGTTTACCTCTTTTCTAAATCTATTTTCGTCGTTTGTAACGCCACAAAACTGACTCACAGTTCCATTTATTATGAATGCACGCTTTTTATTCGCGCGTCTAAAAGATAACCGTACATATGATAAAACCAGTTCTCGTTTCCAACTACAATGTTTCCGAACGTGACAAGAATTATGAGTACGGAGTAATAAAGTATCTCATCGTAACGTTTTTAGACCGACGTGACAACTCTTTGCAAATCGAATTTCGATTGCGTCAACAATGCCGAGTGCATCGAGGGACAATGTTTCTGCAAAGATGGCTTCAAAGCCATCGGTGCTGAATGCGTGGATTTAAACGAATGCCTTACTAATCCTTGTGGGCCTGCGTCGATTTGCACGAACACTAGAGGAAGTTATCATTGTGAATGCGAATCTGGATTTGTTGGCACACCGCCTCATATACCGTGCAAAGGTAATCGTTGTTATGCATTTCAATGTTATCGTATACATACATATTATATCTTTGAAAGAGAAATATTATGTAAAAATGATTAATAGAAAAACCGTAAAAAGAGAAGAGTAATTTTTATGCTGTTAAAAAGCTATAGTCATAATTTTTATTATTTTATAGCACCGTGCGATGAGGTAACTTGCGGTGAACATGCCTTCTGTAAGGCCGACGGTCACGAAGCTTATTGCATATGCGAAGATGGTTGGACCTTCAATCCAAATGACATAGCGGCTGGATGTGTCGGTAAGCAAACAGATATTTCTTAAAAGAATCGAAATATTTTGTAATCATTATTCAACGTAAATATCATTTATGATAGTAAATTTTTTAACGCTGTTTTATTTTCTTTACTTACAATTAGACATAAACGAATGCGATGCGATCAATGGACCTTCTGGAAGATGTGGCAGAAATGCCATTTGTACGAATACACCTGGTGGTTTTAGTTGTCAATGTAAACTCGGATATTCAGGAAATGCCTTCAAGCAATGTATAGGTAAAATTTGAGATAAATTATTTATTAATGATTATCTATAATAATTTTGCAAATATTTATTATTTTTATTTGTCATATGAAAAAAAAAATATATATATATTTTTAATATGTATATATTTATAAGAATTATTAATTTAATTATTTTATTAGTTTTATGTTTATATATTTATATATTTATTAGTTTTATGTTTATATATTTTTTAAATAAATACACAGATATTGACGAATGTACCAAATCTAACGTTTGTGGTCATGGAGCAACATGCACCAATATTGAAGGTTCTTACTCTTGCACTTGTCCGGAAGAAACCATACCAGATCCTGATCCTTATATTAAATGCGTTGGCATAGTGAGATGTGAAATTGACGATGATTGCCCAGGAAACGCTATTTGTGATCTACAAAAAAGATGCTTGTGTCCTGAGCCAAACGTCGGGAATGATTGCAGACGTATGTAATATATATTATTTAAAAGTTAAATGAAGTTATCTTTATTTCAAATGTTGAAGATTTATCTTTGAATAAAATGTCAGTTCATAATCTCGTGTCTATCTAATTAGATCCATGTGAAGATTTATCTTGTGGACCCAATGCGCATTGCATGCTCTTGAACGACGTGGCGACATGTCTCTGCAGCAACGGATACACAGGAAAGCCCGGAATAAAGGATGGTTGTCGAGATATCAACGAATGTGCAATAAATCCGTGTCCTCCAGGGGCAATCTGTAACAACGAGCCCGGTTCCTTCTCATGTCAGTGTCCAAGCGGCATGACGGGCGATCCTTACAGTGGCGGTTGCCAGGAATCTAAAACACCTCATGTGTGTGGTCCCAGTGCGCCCTGCCCCGCTGGAGAACAATGCATTAAGGATGAATTCGTGGGTAGCAGTGTGTGCATCTGCCAACGTGGTTACACGCGCGATCACGAGACCGGTAAATGCAGAGACATTAATGAATGTATGGAGCTCAGAGAAAAGCCTGCCTGTGGTGTCAACGCAATTTGTAAGAATCTCCCTGGTAGTTACGAGTGTCAATGTCCACCTGGATTCAATGGAAATCCCTTCTCACTTTGCGAAGGTAGGACTCTTGATTTTTTTATCCTTGATATTTTAATAATTATATTATTATCTATTAAAATGTGCGTCAGTATTATTAAAAATTTTTATTATAAAAATTACAGAATGCAACAGCATTGAATGTCAATGTCAACCTCCGTACAAAATTGTCAATGGTAAATGCATGCTTGCCGGATGTTCGAAGGGTGAAAAGTGTCCAAGTGGTGCTGAGTGTATAACAATTGCCGGTGGTGTCAGTTATTGTGCCTGTCCTAAGGGATACACGACCAAATCCGATGGCTCCTGTGAAGGTATGACAAAGTGATTATAATTTAAAAGAAATTTTATTTTTGTTGTAAATTTAACTGACAGCAATTTGAAGCGAATATAAATGTATTTGATACGATCGACTGAAAAATATTATTTCATATGTAGATATAAATGAATGCATCGTGGGTCATCAAGTCTGTGGCTACGGTGCCGAATGTATCAACCTACCAGGTTCTCATCAATGCATATGTCCGCACGGATACGGTGGCGATCCATATAATGGGCTTTGTTCTCCAGCACAGAAGAGATGTACCAATGATCACGAATGTAAAGCTAATGAGAAATGTGTGCAGCCTGGGGAATGTGTGTGCCCACCGCCGTTCTACACAGATCCCTTAAATGGAAATCTTTGCAAAAGTAAGTCTACGAATTTCACATTATTAGAACAGCTCAGACATAGTATAAATTTCATGATAATCATAATGTCTTCTATGCCTAATTATTATTGAATTTTATTATTGCAGATCCTTGCGATCGTTTCCCGTGTGGTATTAATGCAAAATGCACACCTAGTGATCCACCGCGATGCATGTGCGAGGCTGGTTTCGAAGGTGATCCGCAACACGGATGTATTGATGTAAACGAATGCGCGAACAATCCTTGTGGACACGGTGCATATTGCATCAACACGAAAGGAGATCATACATGCGAGTGTCCTAAAGGTATGATTGGCGATCCTTACGGTGCTGGTTGTACTGGAGCTCCGACCGGCAAAAGCGAGTGTTCGTCAAATGACGATTGCGAAAACTATTTATCATGTGTCCAAGGAAATTGCGTCAATCCCTGCGATAACGTACCTTGTGGTCCTAATGCATACTGCGAGCCAGATAAACACGCAGCATGGTGCAGATGCGTAATTGGATTCACGGAAGGCAAAAATAACGAATGCGTTTCACGTAAGTGCGAATTTTATAAATTTTTTATTATAAATCTGGATAATTTTACATATTAAAATTATTATTTATCATCATATATTTATGTATTAAAAAAATTTAAAAACATTCTTACATGAATGTGTGTTATTATGGGTATTATAGAATAAATGATTTATCTAAATTTAAAAAGAAATTTAATAATTATTTATAATACGAGCATAGCTTAGTTTTCAAATGATACTTTCAGTTAGTAAGTTATCAATTTATCGTCTAAATCTTTACTATGATTTTAGATGAAATAATACTCCGTTTTTTGATTTTAGAATGCGATGGTTTTGTTTGCGGCACTGGGGCTCAATGTATCGTTAGTTACGACGGGCCGACGTGTAAGTGTATCGAAGGTTTCATGGGCAATCCTTTCCCTGGTGGACAGTGTGTTCCGGATGTTTGCTCTTCTGAAATTCCGTGTGCCGAGCCAAGCGTATGCATCAGTGGACGTTGCAAACGGCGCTGCGAAGGAGTGATTTGCGGCATCGGAGCCATGTGCGATCCTTTAACGAATAAATGTGTGTGCAATCCCTATTTTGTCGGCAATCCCGATCTACTTTGTATGCCACGTAAGTATTACAAACGTAACGCATCTATATTATGTGAAAGGATAGAGGTATTTATTTTATTCTGTGAATGTTTCTCTGCGTATAAGGGAAAATAATATTGAATCATATATTATCCTGGTTGAAAAATTTAATTTTTTTTCCGTAGCCATTCAACCACCACACTGCGATCCATTCTGTGGGAAAAATGCACATTGCGAATATGGTCTTCAGGAATCAAAGTGTATCTGCAATCCAGGTACCAGTGGGAATCCTTATCACGGCTGTGGTGTTCAAGAAAAGTCCGATTGTTCTACTGCGGTATGCGGAAAAGACGCTCATTGTAACGCGGGTTCTAACGCTGTCGAGTGTCTTTGCCCATCTGGTTTCGCTGGCAATCCGTACATCCAATGTTTTGGTTAGTTTTTATTAATTTTAATTGATTCTTTCGCAGTTCTTTTATAACCAAAATGTAGAACTAATATAATGGAATATTTTAAAAAATATAATTAATTTTTTTTTATGTAACATCATTTTTCACGATATCAAGTATAAATAGTGATAAAAACCTATATGTGAATGTATATTTGTATTAGATATCAATGAATGCAACGGAAATGCATGCGGAAGTAATGCAGTGTGCATCAATACTCTTGGAAGTTATGACTGTCGCTGCAAGGATGGCTTTTTCGGCAATCCGTTCGTTGGATGTCAGCAAGTACAGGTGGGACCATGCGCTGATCCTTCTACTTGTATTTGCAGTAACACTGCACCGTGTCCCTTCGATTATATCTGTGTCAATCATAAGTGCATAAATCAGTGCAGCGACATAAAATGCGGTCCCAGATCTGTTTGCCAGAATGGAGTGTGCGTATGTCCGCCTGGTTATAGCGGCAATCCCAATGATTTGCACAAAGGTTGCCACTTGCATGGTCATTGCTTAAACGACCTTGAATGCGAGCCGCAGGAGATCTGTTTCCAGGTTGGCAAAGGCGTCCGCAAGTGCGTAGATGCATGCAGCAAGCTGCAATGCGGACCGAATGCATTATGTATCACGCAGAATCATGTGTCCTCTTGTTTATGTATTGATGGTTACCAGGGTAATCCGAGCAATTTAATCGAGGGTTGCCAACCGTCCAAGTCCGTGATACCCGGATGTGTACATGACTCGGATTGTCCGGCAGGTGCCTTCTGCATTACTCTGGATGGCGGCGTGCGCGACTGTGTAAATCCTTGCAATAAAGTGGTATGCGGCGCCTATCAAAAATGCGAACCCGATTTGATCGTACCTGGTCACGCCACTTGCAAGTGTCAGGACGGCTATGAGTGGAATCCGATACAGTCGTCCTGCGAGAAGCCATCGGTACCCGATTGTATAACTGATGATGACTGTCACTCGAGCGAGGGTTGTAGACCGGATGCGCTTGGCGTATTAAAGTGTGTGTCGCTTTGCGATGGTTTCACTTGTACCGCGAATTCTCGTTGCGTAATGGAGAATCATCACGGCCGTTGCGACTGTCTACCAGGCTACATCGGCAATCCGAATGATCGTCGGGGATGTCACAGCTCGCGCGAAAACCGTTGTTCTACAGATAGTGAGTGCGCGGAGGATCAGACATGTCGTAGCACTCCAGACGGCCCGCTCGCTTGCCAACTGGTCTGCGACTTTATCACCTGCGGTCCCAATGCGCTTTGTGTCGTCAATAACCATGTGGCGAACTGCGAATGTCCGCCTGGACAGTATGCCGGCGATCCGAATGACTCAACGTCTGGATGTCGCGCGGTGCCCTGCGTCTACAACATTGACTGTCCACCGGCGCAACTCTGCAACCGACTTACGCACACTTGTTACGACGCCTGCGACGAGAATGCATGCGGTGTAAACGCGGTCTGCATAACAGAAGATCATAAAGCGATCTGCCAATGTCCACCTGGGCTTCGCCCGAACCCAGTACCCGATGTCGAATGCGTCGCCGTGGAGGCATGTCATCCGGATTCTTGTCATCCTACTGCGTTGTGTGTCGCTGGTCCAATGAACAACCCAGTGTGTCAATGCCCACCGAATCATGTCGGCGATCCTTATGTGAATGGTTGCCAGCCGGAAGGACACTGCTCTAGTCCCAAGGATTGTCCAGTGCATTCCGTCTGTCATGAGCATCGTTGCATTAATCCGTGCGAGAATGCGTGCGGTCCTAACGCATTCTGCGAAATCGTAAATGATCAACCGAGCTGCAAGTGTATTCACAGGTTCGTGCCATCCTCCAGTGGTCCAGAACACGGCTGCGTGCGGGGTACTAATTACTGCACAGTTGACGCCCAATGCGAAGACAGCTACTGTATTGATGGACAATGCAGAGGTAATCTGATTTAATAGATAAACAATTAATAATTATGGTAACATTTCAGTATATTGAAAATATTTCATTATATTGAAAATATTCAAATTATGAAACAGAGAATTTTGACTGTTTTAGCTGTATGTCGTTCAGTCGCTGATTGTTCGGACGGAGAGAAATGTATTAACAACAAGTGTATGGTGTCATGCATTGCGCATTCTCAGTGCCTAGTAGATCATGCATGTGTAAGTGGAGGATGCATCCTCGGCTGCCGCAGTAATAAAAATTGTCCGATTACCGAATCATGTATTAACAATAAATGTCAAGGTATGTCACGATTATAGTATAATTTTGACTCATTTCAAATAAATTTTTTGCATATATGTATATACTAATTATACAGACATAAAATCTATTAAGGAGGGAGTCTCATGTAAATCGCTAAAAAATAGGTAACTTTTAGAAATTTTTTTTTTTTTTGAAGAAATGATGCAACGAATCAATTAAAAAAATTTATGTGTTTTAACGCATAATTTAAAAATTAAAAAAATTTTTTAATTTAATTTTTTAATTTAATTTAAAAATAATAATGGCTCTAAATAGCTATATCTATATGTATAGCTTCATTGGCATTGTAGTGCTTCTTGTTCTTATCTGAAATAAAAAATCAAAATTTTTGCTTATTTTCTGAAATTCAATAAACCTGAAAAATAAGTAAAAAGTTGAAAATTGAATAAACGGCGGTACTTAAAGAAAAACGATTTTAGCTCACAAAGTTTTTTTCTATTTATGTAATAACAATAGTTTAAATTATTTTTTTATTAATTTTATAGGTTCATCGACAAATTATAACATTAAACAATATGTATGCTCAGTAGAGACAACTCGATCGTGTAATGATAGTTTTTGAATAATCTTCTCCATCAATTCCTAAAAACTAGTTTCGAGAAAAACGCGTTTAAAATTTTCGATAAAATCGAAAAGTAAAAAAAAGCTTACAGCAGTTTTTTTCTAATCTGCTATTTCAAATCCATATATCAATCCTTTAGCTTTTTCGTAGAATCCATTTAATTTGATTTGTTTTCCATGAACCATCCTTCATGCTATTTAGATTGCAACACTTCTGCTTCGTTACCCATTCGGCATCATGCATATCAGTAAATAATTTATATTGCTATTCAATTTTTTTAGCGTTTCCACTATTTTCAAGATTATATAATAACCTTTGTTAAAAATACGAGTCGCAATAAAGATGGCTTTGATTAATTTTATAACCGTTATTTATAAAAGGCCTTGAGTTTCTTTATGATTATAGTGATATGTAACAAGTTTAAAACCGAACACGCTCGATTTCCTGCTTCTTCAAATTTTATAATTTTGCTTGCATTCTTTGCAAATAAGTATTTCTGATAGGATGCCAAAAATAGTTAAATATCCTATAATTCTGTAGCAATTATGAACGGGATTATAAACAAAATCTTGATTACTCGCAGTTATTCGATAGTTAATTTTTTCGCGGTTGCATTTTGTCCCATACATTTATCTTCCTTGTTAATGAATCTACATAAAAGTTTCGTTTTGAGTCCATTGCTACACGAGCATTTGTACTTTTACTTTTGTTCGGATAGAACATCTTGGCTTTAGATTCGTACAGATCGAAGTCGAAACAGAACTGGCTCTGGAAAGACCGTTGTCAAATATCATCCTTGTGAGTTGAATCGACATAATAAAGAACGTAAACTGACTGACTTATAGGTATATTTAAATAGCAAAGAGCTAAAAAAAAAGTGATTATATGCGCTTTTTTAGTTTTTTGTTGACGTTTTGTAGACGCTGTGTGCTACTTGGGTGCTTGAAAAAACATTTGCTTTTTTTATTGTGATCGATCCGAATGAAGATCTCGATGCGCGCCATTCGCTCACATATTTGTGCGTAAGAAATGAGCTGTAGAATCTTTAAAACATCGAATTTCATTCTGTAACTTTAAGAAGATATTTTCTACATTGTTCTTATCAATTTTTCTATGTTTCTATTATTGATTAAAGTAAAAATTTCGATTTTTTGAACTAGTTACCTGAGACTCTCCCTTTAACTTAAAAACATATGATTTCTTCTGTGTGTTCTTCTGTGTGTCAATGTGTGAAATAATGTCGGCCGTAGTTCTTGAAAGAAAAACAAGAAATTTATGTGTTTCTAGATCCTTGCAGTAGAAAAGATGTGTGTGGACCAAATGCGATCTGCAGTTGCACTAATCACGCGATCACATGCACATGTCCTCTCGGTTTCCATGGTAATCCTACTCCAGAACAAGGTTGCGTTCGAGTACCAAACGTATGCCAAACTCCGCAAGATTGTCCTAGCCAGCATCTGTGTGTCTCGGGATTATGCCAGTGTCAATGTTCGGAACAGAACAATTGCGCGCAAGGCGAGCGCTGTAAGAATGGCATTTGCGTGAAGATATGTTACGGCGACAGTAATTGTCTGCCCGGTGAATTGTGTATCGATGGAGCGTGCGAGGCGGGCTGCACCTCGGATGTTGGTTGTAAACGCGACGAAGTATGCATTAACAGCAAGTGCAGGTATTGCCTTTTTAATCCACACTTATTTTATTGATTAATCACTTATATTGCATTCTTACTTTTTTAAATATCTATAACTAATTATCCTAAAAGGTTTATGACGCTTAATTTCTTTTCTTAGATGCAGCCACGGATTTATTGCTGGTCCCGAACATTGCCTGGATATCAACGAGTGTGATGATCAACCATGTCATCCAAGTGCTGAGTGCATCAATCTTCATGGTTCTTATCGTTGCACGTGTCCTTCAGGTACCGCGGGCGATCCTATAGGATTGGGCTGTGTGCTGCCGCATCACTGCACCACGCACAAGGACTGTTCTGATTCTCAAGCCTGCGTTCAACACAACTGTTCAGATCCGTGCTCTTTTGTCGACTGCGGTTTAAATACTATTTGTTCCGTTCTGGATCATGCTGCTGGTTGTCAATGCCAGCCTGGTTACATTGGCGATGCCTCAGGGTGCTTTAAAGTAGAATGTCTTTCTAACAGTGACTGTCCAACGGATAAATATTGCAACCAAGAGATCAATAAATGTAGCAGTAAGTTATGATTGCATAAATAAATAACTATGTTCATTTTGATTAGTTTTATAAGAAAAGATAAAATTATAATTTTAGAAAAGAAAATGATTATAAAGTTCTTAAAATTTTTGCTTATTCGTTTTATCAGGTCCTTGCAATCAAGTAAACTGTGGATATGGTAATTGCCTAGCTATCGATCACGTCAGCGTGTGTAAATGCTATTCTGGCTTTGTTCTTATCGGTGACATTTGCGCTGACGTTAACGAATGTTTGCAAAATCCTTGCCATTCTTCAGCTATGTGAGTGAAACTTGTGATTATAAATAATTATGCGAGAAGAGAAGTTAATTCATAGATCTTTTTAAAATAAAATATTTAAAAAATGTATAGATGTCAGAATGCGGAGGGATCGTTCGCCTGTGTTTGTCCGCATGGTTTAGTAGGAGATCCATTCAAAACGGGTTGTAAACAACCTGGTGATTGTTTCACGGATTCGGATTGTCCAAATTCAGCCGCTTGTATTGATAACAGATGCACTAATCCATGCGATGCACCGGGTATTTGCGGTAGAAATGCAGAATGCCTCGCACGTGATCATGTTCCGATTTGTAGATGTCCTGGACAAACTACAGGAAATCCGGCAGTGAGTATTAAAAATTTGAGTTTCAAATTTTCTAAAATTTAACCATTTAATATTGATACAATACTTTGTATCAATATTGTTATAATTGATATTCTAAACTTGTAAATATTTGTATAGTTAATTATACTTTTACTTTAATTTTATCTTATTTCTATTTATTTCTTATTTGTTTTAGACGGAATGTATTCATCTGGAGTGCAACTATCACAGTGACTGCAGTCCATCAGATGCATGCTTCGATCATAAGTGCGTTGATCCCTGCTCTCTTTTGAACGTTTGCGGACATGGTGCTGATTGTTCATCGCTTAATCATAGCGCGGTATGCACCTGTCAACCTGGCGGCACAGGTGATCCGAATCTTGGATGCACTCCGCTTCAATATTGCAAAAGTGATTCACAGTGTGCAACCGGTTCAGTATGTAACGGAGGGATATGCACAGGTAAATTAATCATCGAACAATTACGAAGAAGTATAGTTAATTTATAAATCGTATACTTTAAAAATCTCTAAATTTCATGTACAATCTGATTATTACTATTTGCAGCGCTTTGTGGAAGTACAAGAGATTGCATCGGCGATCAACTCTGTATTAATGGTCTTTGTCAGCCTACCTGCAGAAGTAATTCTAGCTGTCCAGAATATCAATACTGCCATAACAATATATGTGTTCAAGAATTACGTTGTACGTCAGACAATGACTGCTCATATGACGAAAAATGTATTAAGAATAATATTGGACAGGTAATCCTATGTTTTATTAAAAATAAAATTTTAATTACGAGTAAAATTATTTTCTCATCAATTCTATCAGAGAAATATATACATACGTGTGCGCGCGCGCGCGCGCGCGTGTGTGTGTGTGTGTATATGGATCTTTGTCAAATCGGCCATCCATCGGCACCGTTCCAAAATTGTATTTGATATAGAAAAACCACTTTACATATGCTTTACAAATGCTTCATAAGCTACATAAGCTATTGAAAGCTATGTGAATCATTGCAAAATTTAAGATGGGGGATCCAATATAGCGGAAGTAAAAGAAAAAGGAAATAAAATAAAAAACAATGTAATTCTCTAAATTTACTTTAAAGTTTTTTCAAGTATGTCGTGGATCCTGATTACAAATTTGTTGTCAAATTTTAGAAATTTAAAATATATAAAAGTGCAAAATAGATAAATCGAAAAGCTCTTTCCATTCACAGGGAGTTATCGAATCTATTGGTGCCGATGTTGAAGGAAAATTGAAACGCAGAAGATTTAAATTTTAGTATACATTTATTTAAATTATATAGATTAGTCGGCACGAACTTTCCGGACAACCCAATATATAACATGTATATGTACATAAAGCCTACATTTCTTTTTTTAATTTTTAATTTTTTAATTTTTGTTTTTTAATTCTTTTGTTTTTTATTTTTTTTATGTTTTCAATTTATTTTATTTTTATTCACATCTATATTTTTAAATGATTATTTACTATATGTATACTAACTGAAAAATAGAATACATATTCACAGCAAAAACTTCATAAAAAATAGAAAAACGAACATTAGTACTATTTCACTATCTTCGAAGCTCTTAATATGAGATTAAAGTAAATTTCTAAAATTATTTTATATTTTGCATTTTTATGTCCGCCATTTTAAATTTCTAATATTTGACACCGGATTTGTAATCAGAACATACTTGAAAACAAATTTTAAAGTGAATTCGAGTATTGACACTGTCTTTTATTTTATTTCTTTTTTTTTGTGCTTCATGTCCGCCATCTTAAATCCGCCATCTTGAATTTTACAATTGTTTACATGACTTTCGACAGTTTATGCTGCCTGAAGCTGCATTTATGTGCAAGGTAATTTTTCTATGTTAAATACAATTTTTAAATACGGTGGTCAATTTGACAGAGAATTCTCGATATAAGTTTTTCTTCCTATTCTTTTTAATCAAGGCGGAGTGTCATAGAACTTGCGATGTAATACTCTGTGGTCGTAACGCCGAATGCAAAGCTGATGATCATGCAGCAACGTGTTCCTGTAAGCATGGCTTCTTCGGAAATGCTAAAGACGACAAAATTGGTTGTCAACCTATTGAATGTGAAGTTAACGATGATTGTACACAGGAGAAGATCTGCGATTCTCATAGATGCAGAATTGCTTGTCTTGCACATAATCCCTGTGGCGTGAATGCTATTTGTACAACAGAGAAACATGTCCAGGTAATTATTTCATTACATTAGAGTTTTGTTTGACAGTATTCTTTTTATAATAATAATGTTTTGTCATATAGGTTTGTACATGCCAACCTGGATATACAGGAGAACCCACTCATGCTTGCAAGCTGATAGATTACTGCGCAAATGTACCCTGTGCACCAGGCGCATTGTGTGAAAACACGCGAGGACATTTCAAGTGTCATTGTCAACCTGGTACAGTCGGAGATCCTTATAATAGCGGCTGTCAACCGCCGGTAGAATGTCTTCAGGACGTGGACTGTCCGTTAACTGCCAAATGTGTCAACATCAATAATGTACCAAAATGTTTTGGTACGTGTTTTTAAACTTACCAATTTGTTTTATAGTATTATTCCAGTGATTGCATTTTATAATTTTATTATCTTCTTTATATGTATAATACATGTAATGCTTGTGCGTGTGTAGGATTTGAAACACATATATTTTATTTATTACATATTATTACATATTATATTTAATCTTTTTATTCCAGATACTTGCGCACGTATTCGGTGTGGTCCAAATGCAGATTGTGTCGCAAGCAATCATGCTGCGAGTTGTCAGTGTCGTGCTGATTACGAAGGCGATCCTAATAATCTGAGCGTGGGATGTCGTCCAAGACCAGTAGTTTGTTCATCACAAATCGATTGTTTAGTCAATACTTATTGTTATGAAGGCATTTGTCGACGTGAGTAAATAATTGTTAAATTTTTAATTTTCTCGATTTTTATGATTATTAAAAACATTTCCGTATAAATAACTATCTGAGAAGCAATTTTACTGTATTTAATGATATTGTTAATAATATCGCAAATAATATCATTTCAGCATCTTGTCAATCGGATGAGGAATGTAACTTGTCCGATGTTTGCTTGAACGGGCAATGCTTAGATCCGTGCGATGTAAGAGGAACATGTGGCATAAATGCCGAATGCAAAGTGAGAAGTCATATTAAACAGTGCAGCTGTCCACCAGGTTTTACCGGCAATTCCGAAGTAGAATGCGTAAGACGTAAGTATATGAATGAGTCTGCAAAATTTGAAAATATCTTCGATATTTCTTTGAACATTCTATAAAACATCTATTATTATAGTACCAGTGTCATGTCTCGGAAGCGGAGATTGCAATGGAGACAACACCTGTCGCGAGAACGTTTGTTTGCCTATCTGCACTGTTGATAATGATTGCGCATTGAATGAAAAATGCATACGCGGCAATTGCTTGTTGACTTGCCGGTTGGACAATGATTGCTTCTTAGGTCATGTCTGTCTGAACAACATGTGCTCGTTTGGTTGTCGTGCGGATGAAGACTGCAATGCGAATGAGGCTTGTTTAGAAAACAAATGTGTAAATCCATGTGAAGCTACACCATGCGGACCAAACGCCAAATGTACCGTTTTCAATCAGCGTGCTACGTGTTCCTGTTCTACCGGTTTTATACCAAATCCAACTGCCAAAGTTGCGTGTCTGAGAACACCGGGCCCAATATGTCAGGCCAATCGGGATTGCGTTGTGGGCACATCTTGCATCGCTGGCGTTTGCACACCTGTCTGTTCATCCAGCGCGAATTGCTTGAGCAATGAGAGATGTGACAACTCTGGTATTTGCAAGTCACTTTGCAGACGGGACGAAGATTGTAGAAGCGGCGAGATTTGCGAGGGATTAGTATGTATTTCCGGTTGCCGAGCGGACATAGAATGCCAGGACAGTTACGAATGTATAAACAATCAGTGTATTGGTAGGTGGCTACTGAGATTTTTTATATTTTTATTTTATTTGTAATTCTGTCAAAAGAACATCAGTATCATTTGGAATTTATTTTTGCTCATTTGTACTTTATTTTTTTGTATAAAAGTACATTGTTATTGTTATTAGCTTTTATTATTCTATTTAATTATTCTTTGCCTACAGATTCATGCTCATTGACTAGCGCCTGCGGTGTAAACGCCAAGTGTACAATCGTTAATCATCAAAAGATATGCACGTGTCCATCGCCGTTGGTAGGAGATGCTCGTATTAGTTGCAAGCAGACGTTCCTTCCTTGCTCATCTGAACTTGAATGTTTACCAGGACAAACGTGTTACGGTAAATCGTGCTATTCCACATGCAGAAGGTTAGAATACATAATTATGAACAAATCGTATAAAATTATTCTTGTTTTAATACTAAGTGATTATGTTTTTTCAGCGATGCGAATTGTTTGAGCGACGAACGTTGTGACGGTGGTATTTGCAAAACGATATGTAACAGCGATGATCATTGCCTCGCAAATCAAATATGTCACAATCGCATGTGTGACATTGGATGTCGCAGTGATAATACGTGTCCGAGCGATGAGTCTTGTATCAATAATCAGTGCAGAAGTAAGTATAGTCACGAGTAGACTTCATTTTATCATCCTTCCATATGTAATAAAGATAGAATAAAATTTACAATGCATGAACGTCAAAACCGAACACAATCATTGATACATTAGATTAGATTTGAAATGTTTCAATCGAGTAATGTAATTGTATTGTGATCTTCAGGTCCATGCGATGGTGGCAAAGCGTGTGGAGAGTGTGCCGGTTGTCGAGTAGTCAATCATGTGGCTCAATGCAGTTGTCCCGCAAATTATTATGGTAACGCGCTAATTAATTGTGCCAAGACTATGACTCCCTGCGACGGCTTGTGTGAGTGCGACGAAATTGGCTTTTGCACCACCAGCTGCCACCATCAGAACGATTGTTCTTGCGGCGAAGTCTGTCATAGTGGTAAATGTCGCATCAAGTGTGACATCAACAATGCGTGTCCAAAGGTAAATTTCAAGAAAATTTTGAGAAATTATCGTTTTTTTGACTTAATGTTAATGTAATATATTAAAATTATATGTTTTATTAAATACAGGGATACGTATGCGATGGAGGTTTATGCCTCATTGGCTGTCGCACCCACTCCGATTGTCCGTCATCATTGTCATGCACAAATGGCCAGTGTGAGAATCCATGTTCCGCTCAGGGATCGCCTTGCGGAATAAATGCACTTTGCCGTGTTTCAAGCCATCGAGCGGTGTGCTTATGTCCAGAAGGTTATCAGGGTGAACCAAGTCAGGAATGTTATCAACTGGAGTGTCATCACGATGATGATTGTGAGCTAAACAAACATTGCAGCGAATACGGTGTTTGCACAAATCCGTGCTTACAACATGGCGTTTGTGGCTTTAATGCGCAATGTCGTGTGATCAACAGGAAGGCACAATGTTCTTGTCCGCCAGGACACTTTGGCAATCCGAAGATTAACTGCAAGAAAGGCAAGTTCATTACATTTACAGAAATTATATTTGCGAGAATAACTTTTTTAATACGTGCGATTTTTTAATCACTCTTAGGTGGAGATGAATGCTTACGAAGACCTTGCGGTATTAACGCTAAGTGCCGAGAAACTCTAAATGGTTTCGAGTGCACATGTGATCCGGGATGCCACGGTGACCCACATCAAGTGTGTTTCTGCGATGGTGATCTTTGCAAAGACACTCGTTGTGGCATCAATGCAGCCTGTCGAATTTATAAGAATCAGCCACAGTGCTATTGTCCACCGAATAATCCATCGGGCGATCCAATGCATGCATGTACGTACTATATTTCGTACTATATTACTGGACTCTGACAAGACATATATTAATGAGAGATATAATAATATCAAAATAAATTGAGGAAATTTTTTTTATACGTATGTGTCATTATTACAACAAATTTAAATTTAAATAAATTTAAAAAAATATAAAACAAGATACAACTATGCAATATCTTAAAAATATATTTTAATATTATGATAAAATAATAAATATTTATAACAATTTATTTTTGATTGATATTATCACTAACAATTTGTTGATATAGGTAGCTCAGATAGAGATTTAGGAGACTGTCGAACGAATGGATGCGGGAAGAACGCCGAATGTATTAGAGATGGAGCTATATTCGTTTGCCGATGTCCACCAGGTACAAGCGGTTCGCCAGATATTGAATGCACAACAGGTAGGAAAATACAGCCTACTAACTTTTTAACCGAGCCGCGGTTGATTAATTTTATGTACAGCATTTGTGACTAGCGAGCAATACTGACAATCACAGGAACATGGTCCGTAGAATAACCATGTATTGTTTAGTAGGACTTGAGTAATACATAAAACGTATTAATCGAGTGAAAATCTTAACATCGAGAGACAGATGTGATTGGAGCAGTATGTCGCCACGATATTGGATATATACATATTTTACGTATAAGCAAAGAGTACATTATCTGTACATATTATACAATATAGGATATACTGTACATAATTTTGAGATGAGAAAACACGTTCCACACATATCTCACACATAACTTCATATGTAGAATGTTTATTTCAGTATCCAATCTGTCTTGAGGATATAATTGAATAAACAAAAAGACACTCATTTGCCTTATAGTGCCACTTGTAACAAGGAGGTACACATTTACAGTCGACACTATATATCTATTTTAGGATTAATACAGATTGGGAACTGCGAAAGGGACATTCTCATATACCCATGCTTGATATTTGCTGATATTCACGGGTTATTATTTCCTCTTATTCTGAAATCTGTGGGGGCTTGTGTTGTAAATATCGCTGCTTGCCATTGTAATTTCTCTGAGAAGATGTCTGATATTTTGAAAAAGTGTAAAGTCGTTACTCTATACCTCTTCACAGAGCCTACCCTACTTTCATCATAAATACAAAGCATGTGGTTTATGTTATTTGTGAGAAAGTTTCTTTTCACAGTTCTTATAAATGCTTTTTTCTTTGTTTTTCCTGTCCCATCACCCACGATCCACCGACTCTACACCGACTTGAACACCACTATCGTGACAATAGAGCGCGAATGCACCAGCGACTTAGAGTGTCCCAATGAAAAAGCCTGCATAAATCTACAATGTCTGGACCCGTGCGCGCTACGCGGTGCCTGTGGAATCAATGCCCTGTGCCGAGTGGTTCTACACAAGCCGCGTTGCTCATGCCCGCAGTGTTATATCGGCATGCCCCACACGGCCTGCCATCCAGATTCCAAATGCGACACGCTCAATCCCAAACCTACGCCGAGCATCGGTTGTTCCTCTGACTACGACTGTCCGGAGAGTCTCTCCTGCCACTCGCAGACAGGCGAGTGCCGCGACCCGTGTTTGAGTTCTCGGTATACCTGCGAGGTCAACAAGAGATGTCAGGTGCGGAATCACAAACCTATGTGTGTTTGCAAATACGGCTTCGTAGTCAACGAAATCGGGGAATTGACCTGTGCTCCTGATACGCTTACCTGCTCGAGAGACTTCGATTGTCCCTCGAACACTGCGTGCGTCAATGGGAAATGTCAAAATCCCTGTAATGTAAGAAACAAAAGACCGTGTCCAGCCGATAAAACCTGCGATGTCCTGGACCACCGTCCCGTGTGCATTTGCACCAAAAACTGCAATCCCTCCCTCTCCATTTGCCTGCGAGACAGTGGCTGCTCTCCAGATTTGGCGTGCCGTAACTATCGCTGCGTGGACCCATGCAGAAACTCTACCTGTCCGGCTGATGCCCCCTGTTACGTGGAAGAGCACAAGCCTATCTGCAAGTTCTGTCCCCCCGGCTTTGTGCCAGATACTAAATACGGATGCATGAAAGGTAAACACAATTTCTCAGAACACTATCTGAATCTTGTCATTTCTCATAGCCGTTATCACGTCTTTACATTGCCTGGCCTTACACGAGACATACAATTGCTACTTTTCAGGTTTCCGATTGTACAAACAGCAGAATATAAAACTTGTTTACTTCTGATCAATTTGAGAATTTAATTTAATTTTTATTAAATTTAATTTTATTAAATTTACAAGATCGTGTTGGTCAAGTTGCAATTGGATGCACAAGTTTCTTTGTTCTGTTGTCTGGACGCATATTTTAGGTTCCAAGTTACAGATACAAGTTTCCCATACCTTAGACTCCTGCTCTACTTTGCCGATCTCCTTACTACTGAAGGATTCTTCCGTTACATCTGTCTCTGTAAAGACTTATATTTTTTCTTACAATCAGCTTACCTATTATATGCGAGCATGCTAACTCTTAATTTGTAGTAATTGAAATAAAAACTGTAAACTTATCTGTAGCTTAGCCTAATCAGAGTCGCTCCCCGATTAGCAGTTTTGCTACTTTATTAGATATTATGTTTACATTATATTGTATCCGCAGCAGTTCTTCATCCCATGTCCAAGCCAGTTTGCGAGTCCGATGATGATTGCAGCGACGCAGAAGCCTGCGTCGAAAACTCCTGTGTTAATCCCTGTATCAATGGGTGTCAACTGGCAGTTCAATGTCGAGTTGAAGCGCACAGGCCTATTTGTGATTGCGAGCTTAACGACAAACATTGTTCACCTGGTGCAACGACATTACGTTCTATAGATTTAGATCACACTTTTGAGAGAGTTCACACTACATTACAAACAACAACGGGCACTCCGCCATCCACATCATTTGTTTACACTACGGAGATGTTAACCGTTGCATATACGGAGGATAGTACGATTACTTTAACTGATGTTACCGGAAATTTATTGGAAAATATTACTATTGAAATGACAAGTGAATCAGATACGACAATTGTATCGACAGAAATTGTTACTGAGTCTCTGGAACATTCGACGACCATACCTTCGATATTAAGTACAACTGAAATTAATATTTTAAATGATACTTTAAATTCGACGATAAACGTTGATGTTATAGAAAATGTAACACCTAGTCCCTTTATTACTTCAACATTCGAAACTACTAATTTTGAAATCGAAATTACTTCAACAGAGTATACAACAACACGTAATGCTGTTACTTCTAAAAGTGAACAAACGACGCATAGTATTCCAACCATATATAATACAGAAGAAACTTTTACAGGAAATGTATCTTCTTCTGTAACTGAAACAACAAAGAGTGAATTTGAATTTGGTTATGAAGAAAATGTTACTACAATCGAAATAACTGGAACAACTGCTTTTCAAAATATTACTGCCACTTCTCCAATAACACTCAGTCATACCGAGATTACTGATATTACTGTATCTGGCATGAATACTGAAATAACGACTTCTAAGCCATTGAAAACAAATATTACTGAAGTTCCTGAGAATATAACTACAGTTCCTACCATAAAAGTTCCTAATGTAAGTGGTGAAGAAACTTCCACATTAGCAACAACTAAACAATCTTTTACTACTACTACGCAATATTCTACTATTACAGAATTAACATTAAAACCATTAAAAGAAATTACTGCACCTCCTATGGAAAATACCACTAGTTCAATGATTAGTACGACATTTTTTACTCAAGCAAATCATACAATGTCATCCCCAAATATTTTAGAGTATACGTCCACAGATATTGCTAAAGAAATCACACAAGAATGGAGCACTGTCAAAACTGATTCGCTTGATACAAGTGAGCCATATATAAAAGATACTAGTTCATTTTCTACAATAACTGAATCTCCTACATTTACGACAAATATTATTGTTGACAGCGATGCTCACAAAGTCACTCATATTTCCGCGACAGAATACACTACTTCAAAACAGTATACAACTGAGGAGTCTACAAGAGAGATTTCTACTACAGAATATCGTACATTTACAGAAGATCATTCTATTACAGAACAGATCTTCACTACGAAGCAGCATAGCACGCTTGAATATTCTACAGAAGGATATTTTACAACAGAACAATTTAGAACATCACAACAAGCTACGGAACAGATCTCTGATGCTACAGACAATTATAGTATATCTGAATATTCTACAGAAGCGTATTCCACTACAGAACAATTTAAGATAGCAGAACAAACAGAACAATACACTACATTTGAACAATCTACAGAACAAATCTCCACTCTAAAGCAATACAGCACTCCTAAATACAGCACTACAAAAGAACATTCTACAACAGAACAGTTTACAACATCACAACCTATAGAACAATATACTTCTTCAAAACAATATACTTCAACTGAAGAAATTACAGAACAGATTTCTACTACAGAACATTATAATATCTCAGAATACTCTACAGAAGAATATTTTACTACAGAACAATTTAAGATATCAGAACAAACAGAACAATATACTACAATTGAACAATCTACAGAACAAATCTCCACTACAAAGCAATATAGCACTCCTAAATACAACACTACAAAAGAACATTCTACAACAGAACAGTTTACAACATCACAACAATCTATAGAACAATATACTTTTTCAAATCTTTCAAATAAAGAAATTACGGAACAGATCTCTACTACAGAACATTATAATATCTCGGAATATTCTACAGAAGAATATTTCACTACAGAACAATTTAAGATATCAGAACAAACAGAACAATACACTACGTTTGAACAATCTACAGAACAAATTTCCACTACAAAGCAATATAGCACTCCTAAACACAACACTACAAAAGAATATTCTACAACAGAACAGTTTACAACATCACAACAACCTACAGAACAATATACTTCTTCAAGTCCATATACTTCAATTGAAGAAATGACAGAGCAGATCTTTACTACTGAACATTATAATACCTCGAAATATTCAGAAGAATATTTCACTACAGAACAAAAAATATCAGAACAAACAGAACAATACACTACATTTGAACAATCTACAGAACAAATCTCCACTACAAAGCAATACAACACTCCTAAATATAGCACTACAAAAGAATATTCTACTACAGAACAGTTTATAATGTCACAACAACCTACAGAACAATATATTTCTTCAAATCCATATACTTCAACTGAAAAAATTACAGAACAGATCTCTACTACAGACTATTATAAAACCTCGCAATATTCTACAGAAGAATATTTCACTACAGAACAATTTAAGATATCAGAACAAACAGAAAAATACCCTACATTTGAACAATCTACAGAACAAATCTCCACTACAAAGCAATATAGCGCTCCTGAATACCATACTACAAAAGAACATTCTACAACAGAACAGTTTACAACATCACAACAACCTACAGAACAATATACTTCTTCAAGTCCATATACTTCAATTGAAGAAATGACAGAGCAGATCTTTACTACTGAACATTATAATACCTCGAAATATTCAGAAGAATATTTCACTACAGAACAAAAAATATCAGAACAAACAGAACAATACACTACATTTGAACAATCTACAGAACAAATCTCCACTCCAAAGCAATACAGCACTACAAAAGAGTATTCTACAACAGAACAGTTTACAACATCACAACAACCTACAGAACAACATACTTCTTCAAAACAATATACTTCAACTGAAGAAATTACAGAACAGATCTCTACTACAGAACATTATAATATCTCAGAATACTCTATAGAAGAACATTTCACTACAGAACAATTTAAAATATCAGAACAAACAGAACAATACACTACGTTTGAACAATCTACAGAACAAATTTCCACTACAAAGCAATATAGCACTCCTAAATACAACACTACAAAAGAACATTCTACAACAGAACAGTTTACATCATCACAACAACCTATAGAACAATATACTTCTTCAAATCAATATACTTCAACTGAAGAAATTACGGAACAGATTTCTACTATAGATCATTATAATACATTGAAATATTCAACAGAAGGATATACCACTACAGAACAGTTTAAAATATCAGAACAAACAGAACAATACTCTACGTTTTCGCAATCTACGGGACAAATCTTTACTACAGAACAATATAGCACACCTAAATATTCTACAGAAATATATTCTATAACAGAACAATTTAGAACATCACAAGAGCCAACAGAGCAATACACTACTTCGAAACAGTATATTTCAACCAAAGAATCCACAGAACAGCTCTATACCACAGAAAAGTTTCCCACTACAGGATTTGAGACATCTGAGCAGCCTACCACATTTGAACAATCTACAGCAAAACAGATCTCTACTATAGAACAATACAGCACATTTCAATATCCATCTGAACAGTTCATCACATCTACGCAATCAATACAATATAGTATAAATGAATATTCCACAGGAGAATATTCTACCACAGAGCTTGTTACATCTGAAAAATCTACAGAGCAATCTCTGATTACAGAATATACGACGTCTGAAATTACTCAGAATAAAACTGATATGTTTTGTATCTTACATACAGATTGTACAGAATGCGAAACTTGCATTGATAATTTTTGTCGGAATCCCTGTAAAACTGATAATTCATGTCCAGAGAATGTTTTATGCGACGTTATAAATCATCGGCCTGTGTGCTTAGACTCAAATACCGAGCAGAGTACGTCTAATTGTAGTGTACTCCCAGGTAAAAATTTCTCTTGTCGAGAGTTTCATGAGTGTGGTGTCATTTTATGTTTACTGTTACCAATGTTTTCTACAAGCTTCCTCCAGTGTATGAGGCCATATGATCGTATCCAGATGAAAATTGGGAGCAACCAATTCTGGAAATTAGATACTGCTTACCGAATTAGTCATTTCATGAAATGGCTCATCGGTGTAAATTCATGAATGAAAATGTGATCGATATCATAAGGGCAGCTCATAATGAACCTGTGTGTCCCATGTGACCGTATCAAAAATAGTCAATAAGCAGTCAGACACTGTTTTCCCAAATGCAGACAAAGGACTGCTGCATTAGCGCTCTACGCATGATGTGTACATTAATGCTTATGCACGATTTTCTCTCTTACAGCTTCTTTGTATCTAACATGTGTATAATGAATTGCAATTTTAATCGTCTGCGTTTTGAGGAAATTATCTTTTATGCAAACTCATGATATATAATAATATTGTGGCATTTCGTTCGCAAAGTTTATAAAGTTTTTGCGTAAAATTAGAATTATTAAGTTATTATAAAATAAATTAGAACTTTTGGTGTGCGTGCATGCGTGAAAGATGATTTCGCTCGATATAGACGATTTTGATCAATGTCTTTTTTTAGCTGCTATACTTATTGACACATATATAACACAAATATCACTATATGTCTTAAAGGAAAGAGTACATCGTCCTTGTATATTTATGTTTATATATATTGCACTGACACACCTATGTGATAGACTCAAGTAACTGTGCATTTTTTATAACTGCTGTTTTTGATATAAAAATGGCAGTTTAAACTGAGGTCAAATAGATTTTTTATTGGGACATGTACATTAACATTTCACGACTTTCTCATCATTCGTAACATTAATTCCTGCACCTAATGTATATTTGTTTCGTTAGACGTGAAATGTACAACGCACAACGACTGTCCCATCCAATTGGCTTGTGTAAATCATCAATGTGTAAATCCGTGCACTTTGGGCAATCCGTGCGACTTCATCGAAGCTTGTCATGTTCAATATCATAGGCCGGTTTGCGTTAAAGGTATATTTGCAATTGAATTGAACAACATTTCGCACATCCGCAATAACAAAATTTATATTATTTTATACGATTTTTTTTAGTGGAGTCCAATGAGGCAGAGTGTCCTTATTGTCCACCTGGTATGCAATGTGATCCAGCGACAAACACTTGCATCAAAGGTTCGTACTGTCGTCAGCACTATATTTCATCCGATTTTATTTTCAGTTTTTTTATAGCCATCGAGAGATTTGTAAATATGTATGTACTGTACATATTTCACGTACATATTTTGCAAATTATGCATAAGATCCTCTTTATACAAAGCACGAAATGTTCAGTTTTATTACTGTCGTGCATGATCACAAAGAATGATTTCTTTGAGATATTCCTTATATTTTTTCTGAATATATCTTTCTTATCTCGAAGAATGTTTTTCTCTTGATCGAAAATTCGCATACTTTTTCGCACATAAAGATCAAGAAAATCACACATTGCTACGCAAAGAAAATTTCCTTTATCTCAATTCTTATACTTGTGCACTACACTTTCTGGGGCTACATGGGCTTTCCCACTCTTTCTTTAGCGGGTTGCACTAGCAACAAGGATTGCCCTCTGACAGAAGCGTGCATTGGGCACGCTTGCCAGGAACCCTGCCTAATTCGAAATCCCTGTGCGGAACATGCTGTTTGTATTAATACAAATCACGGAGCAGATTGCAGTTGTGAAGAAGGCTATTATGGAAATGGATTCTCTTATTGCGATTTGTGTAAGTTTTACAATGAGATATCAGATAATGCAAAAATAAATAAAGCAGAGAAATTATAAATTATTGATAGGTATTATTTTCTCAAATATTCAGAACAGTTGATGTAAAAATCTAATGTAAATTATTAGTACAAATGAGAATTAGAAATATTGTCAACGTTATTTAGTTAGAAATTCATATGTGCAAAAATAAATTAGCATATTTTACGATTTCAGTGGAAGAAACGAAGAATATTTGTCAATATAACGAAGACTGTCCTCCGAACAAATACTGCGATCGACTCAACAGACAGTGCATCAATCCTTGCGTCGAGTTTGATTGCGGAGATAATGCGAAATGTGTCTCTAGTAATCATCAAGCGCAGTGTACATGCCTTCCAGGTTATCAAGGAAATCCTCACATTGGCTGTCAGGAGATAGTGCTGACTGTCGATCCTTGCATTCCAAATCCGTGCGGTTTGAACGCTTTATGCGAGAATGACAATGGAAATCCCATTTGTTTCTGTCCGAAAGGTCTAACTGGAAGCCCCTTCGAGCAGTGCAGTATGTATACATTTTTCATGAAATATAATTATGACGTTTATTTTATTGTTTTAAATTATAAATGTAAATCCAAGTATAAGAGAGAGAGAGAGAGAGGGGGGGGGAGAGGGAGAGGGAGAAGGAGAAGGAGAGAGAGAGAGAGAGAGAGAGTAAAAAAAATTAATCCTTTAACGAATCAATTTTGTAATGTATTTAGTTCCCGAAGGTGACCAATGTGAAGGTAATCCTTGCGGTGCCAATTCAGGATGTCGAGTGGTGAGTGGACAGGTGAAATGCTTCTGTTTACCTGGATATGAAGGTCATCCACCGAATTTCCCTTGCACACTTCCTAGTACCTCCTGCGATCCTTCTCCATGCGGTCCCAATACTCGTTGTTCCGTGTTGGATAATGGCTTTGCGAAGTGTACCTGTTTATCTGGCTACATTGAAAGCCCCAATACTATTAGAGGATGCGTGCCAAAAGCCGATCAATGCGAATTTAATCCATGTGGTTTTGGGGCGAGATGCAATAGCACGAGAGTACCGCCTTGTTACTGTCCAGATCTCACAATTGGAAATCCATACAAGAGTTGCGGAGGTAATTGTAATCAATAATTTAATAATATAAAATGAAAAGAATTCATTACCAAATATTAAAACTCTTAAAATTATATATATCTTAAAAATTATAATAACTTTTTAACTAAACAAACTATTGAGTTTATTACAAGTTCATTACAATTTTATTGGGGGAGTCACTGGTTTAATTAAAACACTTTTTTATGTAAAAAAATTCTTTAAAATGCTTTATCCTTTCAATTATCTTGTTTATAATTGAGAATTCATAATATTAAATTAAAAAATATTTGCGATATACAGACATCTTCTATAATAAACTTTCGCGATAAACATCTTAAATAACATATAACTATAAAACATTGAACAATAAAATGTTCTATTAATTATATTATTGCAGTACGTCCAGAAAAACCATACGATCCTTGTCTATTATCACCCTGTGGCAAAAACGCTATTTGCACCGCAATCGATGGCATAGCTAAATGCACATGTATACCGCCATTTGTCGGTAATCCGTATATAGATGGTTGCGAAGCCGAGTGTATTATTAATCGGGATTGCGAAAGTCATCTGGCTTGTTTCAATCAACACTGTAGAGATCCATGTCCAGGCGTATGTGGCGCTAATGCGCATTGCGAAGTCGTTGATCATCTTCCTATGTGTTCTTGTTTGCCAGGATATACCGGAGATCCGTTTAGAGCTTGTAAAGTAGAGAAACCTCGTATGTAGACATATTTCAATTTATATACTTTGCATGTTTTATCTGTTATACAATATTTGTTACATACAATATTTTGTGTATATATAAATATATATA